CGTGACACCTTCAGCCTCGGAGGTTGGGAAACAAGGAAAGGGCGGAGGTGGGGTTTCCTCTGGGGGACTGCGGGGCCGGGCGCATTCAAACGCAAGTGGCACTGCTGCCCAGTGAGGGGACCCTGTCAGGCCAGGGCCGAGGTACCCGCGGCCCCGGGCGCGGGCCGAAAAGACAAATAAATGTTTTGCAGCATTCTCCATTAAACAGTAAAGTGAGCTGTAAAGCCTCAGGTGCTGTGTTTGTTGTGCCGTCTGCGCCAACCGGTGGCTCCCGGCCTGGGCGAGCCGAGTGCAGTGGGCCGGGGAGCGCCTCTTCGGCTGATCCCAGGCAAAGATAAGGAGCCGCCGAGCCACCAGCTCTGTCTAGACTCGCGACCTCACAAGTCAAGCGCCTTGTTTGGATTAGCCCTCCAGATCTGCCAACCTGATCGACTCCTGAAAGAGAAGGGCCCAGAAACACCCCCTTTTCCTCTCCTGGGCTACGACGATTGTCGCTCCTTTAAAGGATCAAGGACTGACTTGCCCGCGGGAGTGGTGGGGCTGGTTAGACCAGTGTGAGGACCCCCCCTCTTCCCAGCACTCCCCCACAACAGTGCAGACAGGCGTGGTCGGACCCCTCTACACAGGAAATGCACCCATAGGAAGATTACTAGAACGACCAGCAAAGTTAGTCAATTCAGTCAAACCTACAAATAACGTCACTCCAAAAATGACTGCAAACTTTTTGATCAATAAAATGGAAGTAGGGTCCTGCCCTAGAAATAGGCAGCTCTTTGACTAAGCTGAATTTTCCACAGGACTCCCCTAAAGAGCAGGTCAGTGTGCTTTCCACCCCACCTGATCAAAAGCAGTCACTACCCCAAGCTAAGCATCCTGTTTTGGAGGGAAAAAGAATGGTATTTTCTTTGGAAAACCCATTTGAGTGCTTTTGCAGAGGTATAATTAAACAGAAATTTTTCCAAAATAGTTTCTAATACAATCAAGGATTCTTAAGTGATGTTCCTGTTCCTGGAAGAGATTAGTCTCCTCCAGGCTCACAAACTGGGTTCTCGGAGCCAATAGTTTAAGCATCATAAAATTAAGGGGTGTGTTTGAAACAGTGCTCACAACAAACACTTAGCAGCTCTCCCTGACGCCCTCCCCCCTCTTTCCCAGCCAGTGAACCAACTTCTCTGTCTACACTTCAGAAGTCTCGGGAGGTGTGGAGAGCCCCTCCATCACGCTGGGGACATTGTAAGCTGTGAAGTTTATGTTTGTGGCGCCTGGGCTCAAACAGCCATTCAGTGGCATGCTTAGTTATCAAGAAAAGAACAATCAGAAAAGATCCGTAAACACAATTGGCTGCCAGAGCCTTGAATTAACTACTTTTAGTTTAAAAAAACCGACTCAAAGTGGACATTTTACTTGCTTTTATAATAAGTCGGGAACAAGAATTCAACAGTTGGAGCAATTTTCTAAAGTAGCTTTTTTAAAGGCAGGGGAATAATCTGTCTTCCAACACATCCAAAGAAAATCTGACTTGCATTGTTGTGACAGAATCTTTAATTGTTCATTAGCAGAGGGAAAGTAAATAGTCTTTAATCAATAGAACTCAAGCCTAATTTGGATTATAAATCTCCTTTACAAAAATTGACTAACCGAAGTTTACAAATGAGAAAATAAACACTTTCTACTTAGTTTTCTTTTCCTAGGGATGCGATTAAAAATCCAAAGTGTCTGGGTGCCATATAAACAACTTTGGGGGGAGGGTTGAATTGAAAACTTTTTCACTTTATTTTTTAGGAGAAAACTAGATAACTTCGGGTGGGAATTAGAGCGGTTGTATTTTAGAGAGATAAATCTTGTTTGTAGCTTATAAATTCAAGGTGCTTAAGAAAGACAGAGTGGCTCTAAGGTAACTTGAGCACACATTGTCTTTTTGGCTAGTAGTCAAAAGGATTAAGACAGACCAGAAAGGAGGTCATCAAGAACAAGAAGACTTTAGCAAGTTGATCAGGGAAAATAGCAAAAGAACATGACAAAGTTGGCTCCTGAATTTTGAACTCCAAAACTGTCAGTGGGTGAATGGGACACACACACACACACACACACACACACACACACACACACACAAGCAGAAGGATAAATAACCATTGCAATGGAGGGAAAAAGTCTTCAAATATTATTCTAACTTTAAAGGGAACTTTTTAATGTTAAGAAAACTGAATCCTTTTGATGAAAGGGGAACAAAGAGATAGAGTGAATTAGAGATGTTACTGTTCTAAAATAAGGGAGGAATAATCTTGTCTTTGAGAGTCTAGGAGCTGGTATGAATTCCCTGATTTAAGGAACACATCCTAGATGTTTTCAATTGCATTAAATAATAGCTTTCAGAAGCTAAAGGAAATGAGTCATAATATCCAGAATGAAGGACTCCGAGTAATAAGGGAGTAGGAAACACAGATAATAGCAAACAGGAGGAATTTCATTAGAAGAAGGAGCTCAAAACTAGGTCTCCAGAGGTGTGCAGAGAGAGGGAGAGAGGGAGCCAGAGATGATTTGCAAACAAGAAGACATTTCAGCTACACACTTTAGCACACATGCTGAGGAGGCTAGAAGGGGAAGACACACCTTTTGCATGAATAATACAAGAACTGGAAAGCTATCGACCCATCAATCCATTCTCAGCCATCAGACAACAAATACCTTGAATCTAGCAAGAGAAATCAAAATGATTCATCACTTGCTTCTAAATTACCTGAATTCAAGCTGTGGACTGCAGAATAGACTGACATCTACATATGTGAAATATCCCACATCTCTCAAACACCCCTTTAATTTTAGAAATCAGTGCCAAGAGAATAAAGGATCTCAAAGCTATGTGTCTCCTTTAAGTCCCTCAATGCAATCATGAAAATAATTCTTAGTAAATATTCTTTGTGTTTTGGACCTAATGTACCTGAACCTAGCAGAGCCTCTGGCTGGGGAAGGGAGTTCAATGGTTTCCACAGGGGGCTTGAGCAGCCAGGTAACTTTGTGAGCTCAGCTCCAAATTCACATTGTAACTGTCACCTTCACACACGCTTGATAGCTTTTGCATGGTGAGAAAAACCGGGAAGTCAAAAAGGCACACCAATAGGTACAGCAACCAGGAAACTAGAAGAGTCAAGTCCAGTGACTAGAGAAATTAGAGACCTGAAAGAAAAAGAGAGGGGAGGAGAGGCGAGGCGGAGAGGGAAGAGGAAAAGAAGGAAGAGAAGAGAAAGAAAAGAGCAGTGGGGGAAGCCTTTCCAGGGAGAAGATCCTTGTGCGATAAGACAAAACGCTTGTTTTTCTCAGCAGAGCCATTATTACCACTGGCCAAATTATTACCCCTCTGTCAAGAATTAGACACAACAATCAAAGTAATCAAGGGCATGTCTAATGCACTCTAACATTTTCAATGCAAAGTTTGTTTTCTTTCTGGCCCCACGGTAGAGCCTGTAATTAACCCGTTATGTAGAACGATGCCAAACAAAAGCCTAATTGAGGCTCACTTCCCGACTTGCACAGGTTTGGAGAGGGCAAAAGCGACTGAGAGCTGCGGGCCTCGGGCATCGCGGGCATTACAGGGTCTTCAGCCCTGACGCCCTGCTCCGAGTCAGGGGCCCAAGAGGGTAACGCGCCACACCACACACGGTTAGGGTACGTTAGCTTCAGCATTTATTAAGTTGTCAGATATTGAAAACGGCATTACACTCGCGCATACAAACGAATCTAGTTTCCAGAGTCAAAGAAATATCCTGGCATGGGGAGAGGGAAGGAGAAAGAACAGAGTGCAGCCCCAGTCCCAACCCTAAACCAGCTTAAAAATAAGAGCCCAATTTGAAGCAGGGCCTAGTGCCCATCCCTGGGTTCTGGAGCTCACCGGGGAACCATTCCTAAACGCAGTGGGGATGGGGGTGCTGATCCAGGGAGCAGCGCGTCCCCCACCCCTGGCTCTCACAGCTGGGGGCGGGGGTCTGCAAAGCGTTGGTCCATGTCACCCACTCAAAAACAGGCGGTTCCCCAACAACACTTTCGGCGTTTCCTCCTGAGCCAGTCACCCTTCTCAAGGATTTGAAATTAGAGATGGAAAGGGAGGGGTGGTGGGGGTGGGGAAGGGGAAGAGGCAAGAAAATGCAGACACCTACAGTTCTGGGAATTGCTGAGAAAAGTTCTTTCCCCTCTCAGCCTGTCCTTCTTCGCAAATAAAGCAGCATTTCTCAATCAGCCGCCACTCGTCTATAGTGGTCATCCTTCACTGGCTAGGCAGAAAGCCTCTTTAGCAAGAGCTTATATTTGAAATGTGGGTCATTTCAACCATTCTAAGCAGGAGACTTTGGTATAAAGCACTTGATGCTAAAAAAATAAAACAGTGACGCCAATCAAAACCATTTTCAAGGAGACCCTCTTCCTTTTGTGGTGGGGTGGATGGATGTGGTGGGGGGGGAGGAAGGGGACAGAATAGAGGACAGCATCTCATTTCAAAAAACCTGTAACATTATCACAGCAGAGAGCTAAGGGTTTCTTCCAACCAACTTTGATCCAACTATTGAAATTGAAACTTGCAAACGACCTGAACTACTTGCAATACAATATCACACCTACTGTTCCTTAAGTCATTTTATCCCAATTCACATGCAATCCTTAATTCCAGACATTTTAAAGGCTTGCTAATAAACATATAAAAGAGGGACCCTGAATCATTGCATTCATTTATTTATCTATGCCAAACGTTTATTAGTGAAATAGTCCTGAAGATAAAATTCTACATATGGCGCTTTGATTTCACATAATATTTAAGAAAAAGACAAAACACATAAAATTAGACATATAATTCAAAGACCACGGTACAACCTTTATCTTTTTTTACTTCAGCAAACAAAAAAAAAAATGTCAAATGACATGAAAAGTGGCAAGTCTTCCGACAATAAATAATAAATTACTTTATAATTTTTGCAATGCAAGAGCAAACAAAAAAAAAGTTTCCTTTTTTCCTCTTTATTTCCAGAAAGAGCGAAAACAGTCATTTTAACCAATAACTATACACATCTTTGGGGGAAAAGTCCTTGGACAGACACAAGTCAAACACAATCCCGAGACGCTTGTGGCAAAATAGAGGTAACCTTGTTGCAATGCTTTATAAGTTGGTTTTTAAATCTGAATTCAAAAACCTTTAAAGTCGCTTCAGACTTCTTGATAGAGGATGGATCTCAAAAAAAAAGTGAAAACAAAAAAAGAAAGAAAAATAGGAGAGGAGGCAAAAGTAAAACAAAAAGAAAAAGAAAAAGAAACCAGCTACAGGGCATGCTAAGAGACCCAGAATTTCCATTAACCCCTTGTTAAAGTCAACTAAAAACATTGCAAGGCAATGCAATTCCACCTTCCTGAAAGGACTCTTTCAGCCACTGAGGCCCGTCTCTCCTGCTCTTTGCTGGAGCTCCTGTTTGGCAAGGCAATGACCAATATAGAAACAGCACCATTCAGATTAGGATGGACTAGATAGTTTCTAGTTCTGCTTTTCTCTAGATGCGCAGTGAAATGAAAATGCTTTTTTTTTTTTTTTTTTGAGATCCTTGAATATAAATCCTCTACGTTTTAAAAACGTCTTTTTTTTTTTTCAGTACTCCTAAGGTCATTGAATAGCATATGTTGGGTGTTGGGTTTTGTTTGTTTTTAATTCTAGTAAAATCCCATGATTGTCTTCACAGTGTTGCTACCATATCACCTTGTCATTAAAACAGACTTCGTGCACTTCATGGAGCATTCATTTCTTGATTCAGTTTTCATTGACTGGGTCGTTAAATACTTTTGTTTCAGAGTTCAACATAATTTCCCACTTTCTCCAACAGGGAAAAAAATACATCTGAATGAATGTTCCTCATGCCTCAATAGGACTGGCTACCATGCTGTTAGGTGTATCTGGGAGCTGAGAGGACATCGATGCTACTTCACTGCCAGTGGAATTAGAGCCTGGTCCTCCTTCTGAAAAATTAACCTGCATAAAAGGTTGACAAGTAAATAAAGGGGGCTTCAATAGTATTCACAGAAGTATAAAAAAGTCACAGTATTGTGGTATGCATGTACAAGTGTCTATGTAAATAGACAGAGCCACAGATATCCACTTATGTAATAGAATTTTAACAGGTTTAAAGGAAGCCTATGAGGAGAAGCACTTGGGAAGAAAACTTCTGCTTTCTCTATATTCCTAAATATCTCTGTTTCAATGCAAACTGAATTCCCAACATTATGTTGCATTAAATTATTTAAGATCAAATGTGTTTCCCCTGGTAAAGTGGCATCACAGCTCTTCCATGATGCTCAAAATAAAATTATCCTGCTGGCTATATGTTGCCCTAGGAATAGGCAAGTTCTCAGTCTCTAGGCATCAAAGCCTTTATTTTTTAGTGTGGCTGTAGATTCAGTGAAGTCTCCTTGAAACAATGATTAACTCTTTAGAGGCCTCACAGAATGGTCTCGGGTCCCCAACAACCACCTTCTTTCAAGAGGAGACCCAAGTACTCCACTTCACCAGGTTAGTGGTATGTGCTCCGACACTACTACCAGTACCACTGCTACTACTATTAGAACCCTCCTCCACAGCCATGCCTCCCACTCTTACATCAGAGTCCACTTGACTGCTCTCACCTGACACTCAAGTTTCAGAAGATACAAACACTTGGCAGTCTTGAAACCTCCCCTTACCTTCTTTCTGTTACTCAAGTTTTGCTCAAATGATGCATCAGGTGAACGACTTTTAAATTAAAATTTTCCCTTTAGTTTCAGGATCTCTCTCCCTTTTCTATTCTATTAAACTTTCCCATTGAGAGGTCAAGGGACATCTCAAATTTGCCTACCCACTAGACTGGCCCATTAATACACACACCCTGGAACCAAGCCCTTTTAGCCACTGCTTGCCTCTGGCCAATCATCCCTGTAATGCTGACACAAAAAGCAAGTGCCCTGGGGACAAGTGTGAAGGTAAAAACCTCTCCTCAACTGATACAATAACTTCATTCCTAAAGGAATGAACACAGTTTTATTTTAGGATATAGCTTCATGTTCTATAAAACAAGATCTTAGAAAGCTGATTACACTCTGAGGGGAAAAAAACCCTAAGAATATCTATCATTATCAAAAAGGACACATCTTTAATATTTTTTGTTTATTTTAACCTCTGAAACCTTTTGTACACAAAAGTGAATTCTCTTTTATAAATGTGTAAGACACTTTAATACTTGGATAGGCTTCCACAGATTAAAAACACATTTTCTTTGATTGACAGAGCCCATGTTCCTTTTGTTATACATACCTCAGAGTATGTGTCATACCTAAACACATACATGTAAAAATATAGCCATAAGGACATTGGAGAGATGGCTCAGTGTTTAAGAGACCTGGCTGCTCTTGCAGACGACCTGGGTTCAGTTCCCAACACCCACATGGCATCTAATAACAATCCATAACTCCAGTTCCAGGGAATCCAACACCCTCTTCTGACCTCTGCTGGCACTGCATGACAGGGTCAGTTACATACATGCAGGTACTCATACACATAAAATAAAAAAATAATTGAAAAAATATAGCAACAAGGAATATCAATGAATAATATTCAATAATCAATGGATAATTATTGATATAGGTGAAAATTGTACCCAGACAGGTGCTTGTTGCTTGTAGATGACAGCATTCTATCTTATTACACTGAATATGTATTATAATCACTTTGAGTCCTGAAAAACACCATTCACTCGATACAGAAAAGGAAGTAAACTCACTGATTGCTGATCCAAATGCCAAGGTGATCTCTGAAGTCCTTACAATCTGTAACAGTCTAAAGCGTGTGGTATTGTAGCTTTGTGTACCTCTGCACACATATCATCTACTCATGCACCTTGAGGTTCATCCCACAAAGCATGTCTGAGTTGCAAAAAAATCACCCTGCATAGTTAAATAATGCAGTCTCATCTTTAAAAAGGACTCACAAGAGATCTATGAGATTCTGGCATTTTCCTCCTTCCTCTTCACCACACTCTTCCTTGCTTCTCCTCAACCCTGGGTCAGGGAGCACCCCCTCCCAATCTTTCAGTGTGTGACAGCTAAACAAGAATCCCCTTTCTGTTGAGAATTCTTGGCCTTCTCAGTCTGGGAGCTGACACTTACCAGTTGCTGAAAAGCAGGCTGATCTATGTCACTCTGCAAGGCGAAGTCGCTCAGTACTTTCCAAGGAGGCTGGTAACTTTGCACCTCTACTGGGTTAGCCTGTAAACCACCGTCGTGTCTCTCTGGACTAGCTGCCACCATGGGAGTTCCTGTCATCCCCTGGATATTCTGTGAATAACCCCCCAGCCCAACATGGTAATTAGCAACCCCCCCACACTGTCTGAGCATGCTAAGCAAATATACCCAAGTATTATCTTATCTATATAGTGGCCCTTTATTGACTCTGTAAATCTGTTGCACCTATGGATATTAGTTAGAGTTCAGTTTTGTTTTTCTACCTCTGTGGACTACATTATTACATAAGCTGAGATCTTGTTAAAACAATTCTACTAATCATCTCCTTCCTTACCTTCAGAGCTTACCCCCACAACTCCTCCCATCAGCCTTCACTGGCCACAGCCTCACAGAAGTAGAAAACCGAGGTCCAGTTGAGCCTCCCCTCAGCCTTGTGACATTTCTAGGCCATTTCAGATAGCTGTAGTAGAAAATCTCCAGGCTGGCTTGCAGAGCCTGTCCCCACTCCCATATTGTTGGACCTGGCTGCTTCTGTACCATTTTACACTAACCAACTTAGAAAGTACCCTGCTTGCCAAGTTTAAGGACAACAGGTTTTATGACATTTTAAGATAGGGTTGAAACAGTAAAGGGGGGACAAAAGAGAAAAACTCTTTAGATAACTAGGAGGTTTGCAAAGTTGTGTGTGGGGGGAGTCCTGAATAATAGTACCAAGGACCTGAAGCCTAGATAGAGGTTTGGGGTCTACCTGGAGTAGAAAATTGTCTCTATGGGCATCAGTGAACTAGGCCTCTTCCATCTGCACTAGCAGTGTAGGTCACACCAAGTAGTCGGGTGAGCCCAGCAGACTGCCTGGGTATATGTCCCTTGAACCCTGAATTCTCATCAGCCCCGAGTTGTGGTCCTTTCCTCCTATTTAGTATGTGAGGAACTCTAAGGGTCAAATGTTAGTAAAACCTGGCCTTGGCCTCACTGCTGCCTGCCCTGGTAGGGATGGGGTGGGGGCGCTGTGTTATTCAGGTTCAGGGCACAAATGACATTGCATAGCATGGGCCCAACTTGGAGCAAGAAATGCTGTCTCGGTCTCAAAGGTCTCAAACCAACCTCCTGATGCCTCTAGGAAAGCTGCTGGGTTTAGTAAGAGGATCTCCCCTTCTGGGGTCCTGATGGTGCTGAGCCCCTGTGAATCCACCAGTTCGTACAAGGTCTCCTTCCCCCCTTCCCCCAGCGTTTCCCTGGCTCGGCTTCAGAGCTACTCACAGTTTTGTCATTGGGCTGCTGCTGTTGGAGCTGTTTCATCATGATGCTTCTCTTCTTATCCTTGCACCGCTTGTTTTGAAACCAGACTCGGATCACGCGGGGGCTGAGGCCGGTCATCTCCACTAGCTGCTCCTTCATGAGCGCATCAGGCCGGGGGTTGGCGGCGTAACAGGTACGCAAGGTGTGCAGCTGCTTCTCGTTGAGCACAGTCCGCACGCGGGTGGTCTTCTCCGGCTGTTTGTGAACATGCGGCCGCAGGGCCGGCTGCCTGGCGGAGATGGGCTCCGCTGCGGGGCAAGGGGTGCAGTGAGCCACCGGGCCGCTAGCTCGCCCTCAAGCCCGCCAGCCCGCTCCACTCCCGGCCCGCGGAGCAGAGGTGCGGGTGAAGAAGGAGAAGTAATCTCACATCCCTAATCTATAGAAGTCAATGCTGAGCAACCTGCGCAAAACGCTGTCCCCACCTCTGCCCCTGCCCACCCCTGGGAGCCAAAGGAAAAGCACCTCAGAGTGGGTGTCTCTACTGAAGGTGTCGCCTAAGGGACGGCATTTTTGACCACTACTTTTCCTCCCTCCTCCTCTTTCCTCATTACCAGAGGGACCCAGAGTACACCGAGTACCCCCATGTCCAGGCTAGGCGTTCCCTCGTGGGTAAAAGCCACAAGAGGGTACCAGGGAAGGAAATGCAGAACACCCCACAAGGGACCAGGATGTCTGCGACCGGAAGGCTGAGAATTCTTCCAGAAAGCCTTGAACTTCAATCCCAGAGGACAATCATATTTGGGAGCTAAAGAAATTTTGTATTCCTGTCACCCAAATGGTCCCCAGTCTTTTTTAGTACTAAATCAACGTGGGATGTTCCTGAGACCCCCTGACCCCAAGCACAGGAAAACTGAAACTCTGTGGAGCTGTCTGGGTTTAAGATAAACGACTGCTGGGAAAGGTCCCTTGCCTCCCTCCCAATATTTGGGCCTCTTCTATGTTTCCCACCCTTGGCTTTGCCCCGTGCCTGCAAGTCACAGATCCCCCAGGGCAGAACTCAGAGCTTCCAGAAAGAGGTGAGTGGGGTGTTGGGAAAAGCAGTCCTCTCCTCTTCCCCAGTATTTAGTGGTACTGACACTTTAAAACTACGCAGGAGGGGGGACTGCAGATCTACTTGGTCTTAGCCAACCTTACTCCGTTTGCACTTTCCTTTATAGAGGAACTGGCCCTCTGATCTGTATGGAACAAATCTCACACCTTCCAGCGACCCCCCGAGGTCAGGCCAAACACCTATGGGGTCAATTCAGAGCTACAGTGGCAGACTGGAAGATGAAATTCTCACCAAATCACATAGAATGAATGGCTTAAAGAGGCAGGGTCCTTTTAAAAGGCAATTACTGCAGATTAGGTTGTTGACAGTTTTAAATTACAGCTCTGTGCAATGGCCTGCAGTTACTAAGACTGTAGTATCTTTTAGGGGCCTGTTTTCTGACAAAAGCATAAAAATAAAACTTAGAAAACATTTGGATTGAAGAGTAAGCCTCAAGAAAAAAAAAAAAAAAAAGATTTGGAAAGCAAAATGTCTGGAGGCCACTTAAGCTACCTCCGCGAAGTTCTGGAGGAAGCTCCTGGAGACCCAGGGCTCCACCCCTTTAATTAGGCTGCAGCGAGGCGAAAACCTGGCGGAGGTCTGAGGGCAGAAGCCCATTTTCAGTAAGCCCTGGGTTGGACGCCAAGGGAAATCTTACAGTACCATTTGGGCTTGTGTATACACGTGTGTACAAGTGAATACGCTCATGTCTACTCACACATATACATGTAGATGTGTGCTTGTGCCTTCGGTGAGTATATGGAAAACTGCTAGAAAGGAGCAGAGCACTCGTAACATTTCAATTAATTGAATGCGACCTTCAGGACCACCTGTGGCCCCCAGGTCACTGGCAGGAAAGGTGACGACTTAGCTCCACCTGCCTTCTCCAGCCAGGCGTCCCTCTGGGTAAAGGAGTACCTGCCATTTGCAGCGGCCGCGCAGGATGCAAGGGGCTGAGAGGGTCTCCGGCGCCCAGGCTGGCCCTCTCCACCACATCGTGGTCGGCGCGGCAGAAGAGTCCATCTTCCCGCAGAGCGAACTCGTCTCCCGGGATGAGCTGGCGGCTGCAGGCCACGCAACGGAAACACTCGATATGGTACACCTTGGAGCGGGCGCGCATCACGAAGTCGTTCTTACTGAAGCCGATGCTGCACTTGGCGCATTTGATCCCGTACAACCTGAGTGGACCGGCCCGAGATGGGAAGAGAAGCACAAGAGGAGAGGTCACTTCAGACAGGCATTGCCTTGGTCCAAGATGGCCAGCGAGTGGGGCCTTAAACCCTGATCTGCTCGGAAGAAAATCAGTAGTAATAAATTCCCCCCTCCTCTCCCTCCCTCCCTCCCTCCCTCCCTCCCTCCCTCCCTCTCTGCTCTCTCCAATCTTTCCTTTCAAAAGATAAACCTTACACATGAACTTCAGTGTCTCAGTTGGTACCTTTTAGTTCAGACATCCAGCCCAACCCAAGAAAAAAATTAAGGATGGATTTCAAACGTGGCCATCAGTCTCAGGGTTATTCTGACAAATTTTAGCAGGAAGGAATTCAGGGGACGCTGATGGCCAGTAGCACATGCTTTCGATTCCGATTCCCTAGTCCTCAGTTTCTGATGCTAGAAATATTTCTGAAATTACAACAAAAAAGGTTGGAAGGAGGACTGTCACCCCACTTCATCTGTGAACACACACAACTGCATAAACAGAACAACAAAATGAAACCTCAGAGGGTTTCCAGATCCCCTACCACACAGCAGGACCTTTCAGTATTTATCCAACTAAAGATTTTCCAGAGGCCACAATGTTAATGAAGTTCCCTCGCCTTTCTTCCTCTTATTATTAGTATTTAGAATCTGTTTTTGCTCCCTCGGTCTTTTTTCAAATGGCTTAAGCATCTATCTCTATTTCAATTTGCCTGAAAGCAATGGAGGCAGGAAAATGAAAAGATGAGAAGATTCACTTCTAAGATCTTCCTCATGGCTGGCCTTTCCTAACAAGGGGCAGACCTTACAGGTTCCATCTACCGCTGCATGCACTGTAGGCCCTTCTCTTTGCCTGTTTGTAAGTCCCACAGAGAGAATGAGAGAGAGAGAGAGAGAGAGAGAGAGAGAGAGAGAGAGAGATCCACACAAAAGAGGAGAGCATATCACTCCCCCAAGAGAAGATCTTTAAAGAAAAGTGGTCACTCTATTCTGCTTTTACAAGTATAGAATCTCCAAGGTGTCTGTGCAAACACACACACACACACACACACACACACACACACAAACACACAAGTTAACATGAGTTGAGACAAAGTGGAGAAAACATAAAAGTAATTGGGTGCTTCGACAAATAGAGGTATCCAGAATTTTCTCATGCAAATCTGTATACAATTGAGCAAAACAGTATCTCCAACGGAGTAAAGCTGCTCCAGGAGGTTCAAAGTGGATGCTCCTACTTCAGAATCCTGAGTTCACACTCCATCCAAATAAACAATGAAAATGGCTCATCTGTCAGAGGTTTGAAGGTAGAATCTGAAGTTTCCCTCCCTCTACCTCCCTAAAGCAAGAGCTCCCATTTTATAGGATGAAGACTTTACTTTGCCTGTGACCAAACAATTTAGAAAATCCCTCCCCTTTCCAATACCCCACTTCCTCCCACTCTCCTCTAAGCATTACATGTACACACTTGGCGGGTGCGGGCGCACGCGTGCTCTCACTCACACACACATACACACACACACCTCCCTCATGCACCCTTCCATTTTATCTACGAACGTTGTACTTTCCACTTTGTGATTTCAAAAAGAAAACACTGGGCACCCTGTGAGCTGAGCGGCAGAGAATCAAGAGCTTATTTTAAATCTTAACTAAACTTAAAGGCAAGTTCTCAAGCTCCAAGCTCTGAAACTCTTGTGACTTACAAAAGCCATTTACTCACTTATAGTCAATTAAGATTTTAAAATGTATGTATGTATATTTTCACTATCACTAACATACGAGTGACATCTCTTCTGTTTTGTATTCAAACTCCTTTTTTTCCATAGAAATTCTACTGGGTTCCTAAGATAGAAAAGGAACTTTCTGATACATGCACACAGGTCATGGAAAACTTGAAATTAGCAAAACCTGATGCAACAAAATTAAGCTCAGCTCCTATGTGGTTTTTATCTTGTCACTATGGGCAATTCCCTCATTTTATCAGTAACTAGATTTTAATGTGAGAAAGGAAGCTGTTCAATTATCTAAATATACCAATTGTTCGTAGACAGATGATGGGCAATTTGATCTGCTCAGTCTAATTCATCAGCTCAGATAAGATAAGAAAGAAAAGATAGTCAGATGTCACCAAAGGGTTAATATTTAAAAAGATTAAATTTCCGGTCTTTTTTGTAAGGAATATTTCACTTGGTTTTGAAATTTGCTAAGATGGGCTCACCCTAGAAGTAAAGGGAAGCAATGCTCACTCTTGCTTTTCTGAAATTCTTCAGCCTAACTTTTGTCTATTTAACTTGACACCTCCAAAGAATTTTCAAGTTACTAAAAAAGCAGAAGAAAAATAAACAAAAACACTGCACTACACAGTGAAAATAGTTTGTTTTTTTAGTTTAAAAATCCAAATTTACTTTTCTTAATTTTGTTGTTTTAGAAGAAATGTGAAAGAGAAAAATAATTTCAGCACCACAAACTCCAAGTCATTAATAAACCTTAATACAACACAATTTAAGTAAACCACTGTGGCAACACCCCCACCCCCAATGAGATGAACAACACAGTGTAATTTTTAAAGTACTTTTGCACGCTGGGCCCTCTAAGGTAAACTGCTCCCCAAACACAAAGCCGCATCAAATAATAAATAAGAAGAGACAAGGAAATCTCAGAAAATAACGAAGTGTAAACGGCATACCTGATATAATCTCTTTTACAGTAGGTTTTCCCATCCCTAACAAAGCACGTACAGCTCTCGTCCAAATACTGATTACACTCTGCACATTTCAAACATGCCGCATGCCATTCCAAATCCGGAGAAACCCTTAGAATATACTGATCGTGAATTTGATTGCCGCAACCAACACATAGGGAAATCAGACGTTTTTCTGAAATGAAAATAAATACATGATTGACTAACCGTTTACTTCCTACAGCGATAACCACACTTTTAGTGTCGTTCTCTTATAGGGTGTACTCGGGGAGAATTTTTTTCGTTCCTTTTTTTAAAGAGTACTGCACTTTGGGATGGTAATTGAAGTGTACTAGGATTATAGGTTCAGGCCACCACACCGTTTTTTTTTTTTTTTTTTTTTTTTTTTTAAGGAGGTGGAATATATGTAAAATGAAGATTTGAATAGTCTACATTTGTAAGCCTAGCACGCAATCAAACCCGCTCATTTTGTATTTTCTCCCCTCCTCCCACTTCGCTATAATCATTAGGTAAGATTATGGATAAGTCAAGTCAAAGAAAAGGTTTTGACTAGAAGCGTTAAGTGAACGCACGGATGTCTATATTTTCCAGGAAGCACATTCTTCAATTGCACACAGGACTGGATATTGTTAGCCGGAGTAGACATCAATACAGTTGTCACTCGTTCTCTTTTGCAAGTCTAATGCTAATTCATATCCGCGGGTACTGTGTGTGCAGGCAGACCTTTGCAGCATAATAACCTTCTCCAAGAGCTCAGGATTCCCCTGGAGGAAATCACCGCTTAGCACCAGAAGGCTAGAGTTTGGGAGGTCACACAGTCGAATTCAAACACAAGGTATGATCGGTTTCCCCAAAGATCAGAACCCACACCAAGCCTGCTGGCGCAGCGTCAAGGAAAAAAAACAAAGCACAGAAAACAAAACAATAACAAAAAAGGAACCACCTTTTCTTCTGTCTCTCCAGGCAATGACTACAAACGCAAAGAGCCCTGGTTGCAGTACCTGAGAGAGACCCCCGCACCAAAACAGCACACCGAGCCCCACAAGGTAAAATAGCCTCTTACTTTTTGGTGGATCGCCCATGTCTCCCATATCTGTAAGAGGGAGTAATGTCCACAGTGAAATGTTGGTTGTACAGTTGGTGAACAGCACAGAGAGGATGCTAAGTGAGAACTAGTGGCCCACGGGGCTGCCCAGGCTGGAGGAGCCGCTGCCCGGCTGCGCCGCGCCCTCGCGGATCCGGGAGTCGGATTTAAGCCGGCGGCGTTGGCGGAGCGGAGGCGCTGCGGCGGCGGCGGACTCGGCGCGGCTCCGGCACCTCTCTTCCTTATCTCTTACTCAAACTTCTCAGCTCCAACTCAGCTCCATCGCCATTGGTCTGACGCAGCGCGCGGGGACGTCAGGCGAGCGCCGCGCCCATTGGCTGCGGGGCGCGCGGCGCAGCTGTTCTGATTATCATATTTCAGCCTAGGCGCTGCCTCGCGCCACTGACCGTTCGGGAGCCCGCGGGACAGGATTAGGACTCCCGAGGCTGTCGCTCTGCGGGCTCAGGCTGTGTTCCTCCCTGATGCTCCCGTCGCCTGGCCGCCCGGGCTGCGGGTCCCCTGTCCTCCTCCTCCGTCCCCTCCCCGCGCCGTCCCGGCCTCGCGTCGCGCTGCTCTGCACCCTGCGCTCCCGGGGTCCCCGCAGCCCGCGGGCTGGGCTGAGCGCTGGGCTCCCTTTTCTGCCGCCGGTGGCGAGTGGCTGGTGGGTAGGTCCTTCGTGTTAACGAGGTCCCTCCTGGGCACTAGGAAAAAGGGAGGGGGGATTTGAAACTGGATGCCTTTTTCGATTGGGTCCCACGCTGTCGTCTACAGCCCCGGCCTGGTCCCGCTTCGCTGGCTGCAGGAAGGGTACCTTCCCACTGGAGCTGGCAGCCCACCGAGCGCTAAGGGAAAGAAGAACCTGGAATGGGATGATTAGACTCAGAAGAACTGTGCGCTGACAGCTGTCCTGTCACCCCATCATTCCCCGGCCTCAGATCTCCAAAAATGTGGGGTGGGAGGAAAGGGGAGCTCCTTGCCTAAGCGGACCAGTCAGGTTGGAAACGCAAAGGTAAAGCGAGTTCACTCTACAGACTGCCTCTCCCCTTCCTCCCTCCGACCCCCTGAGGTCTGCTTTTCAGTTAACTCTTTAATCAAAGCGACAACTAACCAGAAGTCAGACTGCAGTGCTCCAAAGTTTGCAAAGCGGTTGTTTACCTTCCAATTCGCTCTATGGGTCTCTTGCCTTTTGTTTTTAAAAGCAAAAGTGCACTTCGCTGGCGGCGTTTTGATCATAAGCGCAGCTTTACATTTCTCTCAAGACAGTTTTGAAACTGTTCGTCTAAAGGCAGGAGTAGGCAGAGACTATTAGAGAACAGTGAAACACCTATTTCCCTTCACCGGGGGTTAGATTTCTAATTGATTCCGCTGAGGAAGCATCTGAAAGAGATGTTGCCTATATCTTACCGCTAACTTTTGCCTGTAGTTTCCTACATGATCCCATCATCTCTTACAGTCTTCCAAAGACAGTTATTGGGAGTTCATATAGAATTCCCACACTTCCCCCAGAGCTTCTAAACAACCATTGCTTATCTAGTGAGACTGCTGGTTTATCTAAAATGGCCTACAAACACAAACCTTAGAAGGCTTAATTTGGTGTCTTGTTGCCTGAAGACCCAGTGGGTTAGCAAACTCTTTTCTTTGTATCTTTCACCAGATCTAACTCTTGATAAGACCTTTGAGCCCTAGATAGGCCTCAGTGGCTGAGTTTGAAAGGTGTGCCTCTCCAGAGTGCAAAGAGAACCTAAGGAGCATGAGTTCTTGCCTGATCTAGTGAGAGCTTTACCAAGAACTCGAGTTTTCGCTTTGTTTTTGTTTTGCTTGGCTTTCTTTGCTATGTTTTCTCTCTGAAGATGACAAATGGGATCTCTTCCTTTCCATTTTTTTAAAATTATAACTTATGTTCAACCGCATGAGGAGAATGGAAAGTTGGATTGACGGTAAATTTACCAGTTGTGTTTTGTTTTTCTTATTTCTGGTCTCTGGTGTCCTATGCATGGAGTCTTTTGTCAAACTGCTTTTGCAAAGATTTTTTGCAAAGCTTATAATCACTACATGAGAAAAAGTCTGCCTTGTATAGGGGCATGTTTCCCTTGCAGATAATCAACTTGACTTTAGTTTTTTTGTTTGTTTGTTTTTGTTGTTGTTGTTGTTGTTTTAAAGATACCACAACAGCACCAAAGGTAAATAGAGGATCCAAACTATATTTCCTTAGGCCACACTTGAAACATTTAAGAGAAAAAGCATTTAAAAGAAGCAGTGGAGTCTGATGAGCTCTATTTGAGACCCACAAATGACCCTCACTGTTCCTCCTTACAGAGAGAGAGAGAGAGAGAGAGAGAGAGAGAGAGAGAGCAATAAATCTGTTAATTGTCAATTCCAAGTAGAAAATGTGGCATTCAGCTTGGGAGTAAACTGTCAATAATAAGCAATTCTGCCCTAATGTTGAAGACACCATGTTTTCTTAGTTCAGGATGTTATTGTAAACCAGCATTTTTGTTTAGTTCCTAAACTGATCGAAGCAAGAGTCCATGCATAAGATATTCCTCTCAAAGGAAAAAGCTTAAATGAACCCAACAATTATGTTGTGCTATGATGGATGTGTCTACAGCCCTATGTGTCTGTACATTATACTATTTGCATTAAAATCAAAGTTTCAGCAGCAGCCAGTATTTGTTTTTCTTTACCTGGAAGTTCTATGCCTACACATTCTGTTTCCTTAGCTGATTGCTGTATGTAAAATCATCAGGGTTTTTATAGAATACATAAAACTGATTACATAAAAGTGATTAGCAATATTTTTCCCAAGTACTTGATCACAGGAGCGACCTCTTGTGTTCAAAGGGGGATTAGACAATCTCCTGTCAAAATTGGATGCATTTTGACCTTTGTGTATTGTTAGGTCAAAAATATATCCTTCAACACAGTAGTGGTGTCAGCCTCTAGTTTGAGCTTCTCCACTGAGGAACAGAAAGGAAAAATGGGTAATTAGTTAAATGATCCCTCCAGGCCATCTTCTCCCCAGTATAGGATTCCAGTTTTCATACTGTTGGGATGGTAAGATTTAGTACGTTCCTAAAGTCTATGGTATCTGCCCACATGCACTGGCACATACTTTCTAAAGCGTAGTTGTTACATCTAAGCTCCCTGGTGACTCATTTAAGATGCCTGTGTTTTGTATGTGTGTGCTGTTGCTTCCCATTTTTCTGCTTTAATTAAAATTGAAACTTTCTACATTAAATTTAATGCCAGATTCAGATTCCTGAACATCATGAAACCAAGTTATTTTCCAAAAATCTAAATAGGTTTTTCATTGAAACTGGAAGGTAAGATTACATAATTAGAATTCACTTATTCTCTAATGTCTGGCAGAGGTGAGTCTTGTTTCTTTGAGAAATTATGTGCAGCGAGAAGAGTTTTGCTTTTCCATCTAAACAGTATTGGGCAGAAAAGGAGGCTTTGTTCTGTTTTCCTTGAGCAACGGATGTTTGCTCATTTTTTCCCCGGGTGATGATGTTCTATATTCAGCCCTCACCAGAATTTAGTTTGAAGGAGTAATGTTTTGAGATGGAAAAATACAACCAAAGGATTTGTATTTTCTTATTTTAGAAACACAATGGAACATGGACAAGTTATTTCAAAACACTTAGAATGAATGTATATGCACATCCCATTTCTCCTTCCTAATTTTTCTAAGTAGTCTCTTTCCATGTAAAATGAGGCTGTATAAACCATTGTATCTTTAATCAAGTTCAAGGAGTCCACAAAACTACATGCTCTTACAGGGAATCAGGATTAGCACTTACATTCCATTGGGAACAGGGCATGGTTGTTTAGAGCTAGTCGTTTCTCTTCAGTTGTGCAAGACTCATTGGGGATCAGTGGAGAGAATCGGCTCTGATTTCACAGAAAAAGCGATCTCCACACTCATAGGAAATGATTACCCCTTTCTTTCCTTTTTCTTTTTAATAAAAAAGCCATGATAATAAAGGCAATTGTTAGCAATAACAAATCTTTACATCTGAATCTCATTTTATTGCTTAGGACTCCTACCGTGAATATAGTTTTGGTGAGTGGCAATTACTGCATTAACCAGTTAAAACAATCCCCGTGAATTAGCAAGAACTTCCTTAGTATGAAGAGCTTTCTAGCCCGAGTTCAGGTGGTTGTTTCTGTCGCTGGCGTTCCTTTCTTAATATTCTTTCCTGGCGGAGACAGCTCGAAAGGCAGTGATCCTGTGCGATCTGTTGCTCGGTTCTCAGCCGAGATAGAATTGCACTTTCCCGGCAGAGGCGAAGCCGCAAACCTCAGATTGGTCCTTACTCTGCAAAGATCCGAAGTTGATCGCAGTGTGGAGTTGGGTCAAGCGAGGACAGAGATCTGCCCCCTCCTTTACAAATCGTGCCTCCGGAGGGATTTACTGTTTTCTTAAAATCGGCAATAACCCTTTTCAAGTGAAACTCCCCCTGCCCTTTCCAAACTCCTGAATGACCAGGACTGTTTTTAACTGAGTTCTGCGTGGACCACAGGTTGGAACCTGTGAGCGAATTATACTAGGTCTGGCCCCATTCAGTTCAGAACCTCACATCTGGCAAAACTTTAATTAAATGCATTCCAGTGGATGTAGTTGGAGCCTTGGGGGGGGGGGGCAAAGAAGCTGTCCTGGTCACGTCCAGGACTAGGTGGTTGGACTACCAGATTTACCCTGAATCTTGCAAATCTTACCCGGAGCAAGGTAGCTCAGTCCAGCTGATTGAATCCGCGAAAATCTAGCTGCTGGGTCTATCAGAGAGAAAGGACACGTTTTCGCCTCGCCCGTCCTATCTTACCAGCAGCTCTGAATTTAAAACCAAAGGGCTGATTTAACTTCCCTTCTCGACGTTTCTGGGGAGGAGAGGGGGAGGGGAAGCGAGGGTACCACAGAGGAGGTCAAGAGGGGGAGGAGGAGCTGAAAATTACCAGCCAGGTCAGGGAGGGAGTTAGTAAACCGAGAATCTACCAGGATGCCGCAATCTTCACTTAAGTCAGGAATCTGTGGTGGAAAAGCTATCTCCTAGGGCATCCTGGGCTGGAGACCTCGGGTGGGCTGCGGAGGTGATGTCAAGAGTTACAACTGCTTCCTGTGAATTAAGCGGGCAGCTAAGGCGTGTTGGGGCGGGTGGAGTAGCTGAGGTGTGTGGACCGGGCTGTTTTGAAGGGGCGGGGAGTAGACTCTGAGCGCCTAAAGGAGTTTCTGGGCTGGAAAAAGCTCTACAAATCCAAGTCAAATACTAGTCAGTTGGAGGAATAAGATTGTAGGGACAATTTTTAAGTTCGCGGGCTATCTGCGGCGCCTTCAGGAAGGTGAATCAAAGGGTGAAATTGAGCGCTTGGATATTGAGAATTGTCTACGCCTCCAGATCGCCGCTGGCAAAAATCATCAATTCTTTAAAATTTCACGGTGAAAGAAGGATCCGCCGGGCCCCTCCACCTGATAAATATTGAGACGAGAATGGGGGTACAGGAGGCGATTTCTTTTTCAAAGAAATACATG